AAATGAATATTATGTTATTACTAGCTGNCTTTTGAAGCCTAAAAAATTACTATGAAATATAATAAATGGAAGTATCCTTAGTAATATAAAAGAACATAACAGTATTTATCACTAGTGGTTTCAGTGGAATAATAACCGGAACATACCATAACTGCATGCTCGTATAATGACAAAAATACTTTTTGCATGTGACAAATCACCCTTCTGCTCAGAATCGGTGTTGTTCTCCTGCACTTCTAAATCATCCACCACCTCATCACTGTCACTCTGGTCATCAGAGTTGGAGTCCGAATCTTCACATTCTAACAGCGCCCTTATTCTTTCTTCGTTCATTATGACGACAAAAATGGTTAAAACAAATAAATAATAATAAAATACAGTAATACTTAATTGATATGAATCGTCACTAAAATATGACAATACATTTTATTGAGTAATATTGTAAAATAAAACAATAGTAACATACCTGAAGTAGTTACACGTATACCCGCGTCGGTCTCACAGACCGAATAACAGCAAAAAGTGACACACGTACACTTGGCAGCAGCGATCGCCCAACACTAAACAATGGCTGGCCACAAATCATGAAGCTACTAAAAACCGCAAAGTCATAGAGTTAATACTTTTTGAAAAAACTCCGAATTATTAGTTCGTCGGTCTGAGAGACCAACGCGCGGGTATAGGAAGGATATAAAATACTTTTGTTTCATTTTTCTCACGCCCGTTCACATTCACAAATTATGCTCAAGTGAAGCAGCAAATCGAACGCACAGAGTTGAATAGAGTTCTATCATAGGTTCGTGTGTCACCCAGTGCATCTTCCACGTCCACGCGCACTGTAAGGCTTGTTTCTTTCTTTTCAATGCTTTTATTGCTAACAACTACCTACCTACCTATATTTATTTATTTACCTTACGTGTGTCGTCCCTGACATAACTATGGGAACATATCTGAGTTATAATTTTACAAATTATAGAAATCTTTTTTAACAAGCGTCGTTAACTCCTGCGCATCCTTTATCGTCACGCAAGTCTCTTTAAACGGTATCATTTAAAAATAAACTTTAAGTCTTGGGAATAAGGTTTAGTTTCACAATTGTATGTGGGAGTACGTAATAAGAGGCTTTATTTTTTATGAATAAGTAGCTTAAATAGTTTGGTTACGTCTTCCATTTGTCATAGCCTACTTAAAAAAACTATTTATAATCACGTTGCAATTTTTAACTTAATGCTATGAAACATTACTAAACAAAAGCTCTATAGTGGTGAATCGTTTTACGAATTAGTATATTTTTTTTGTATTTGTACTATTTTGCACCGCCTACTTAAATTATCTGTTTTGTCTAATTTTCTGGTTAGCTGGAAGAGAATGCCACATGGCATTAAGCTCGCCTGTTGTACCACTGTTTTTATGTGTGCAATAAAGATTTTAAATAAATAAAATAAATCGTCTGCTAACACCACCTTTTAAAAGACACTAAAGTAAATATGATTCTATAAATTTTAATGACAAGAGTGTGTGGCCTTGCCTTTGCCTGCCTTGTAAAACGTATTTCTTATATTTTTTTTTATGTATTTATAGTTACACTATTGATTAAAAAAAAGGCTGACAAAAGTGACTGAGTTTCTTCCGCCACTTCTTCTTAGCACCGAAGAAGTGGTGGTAGGGCAAGCCATATTTGGGGAGTGCAAGTAGTACTAGTACTAGTACTTAGTAAGTACTGAAAAGAGCCTACTAAATATTTTGATTTTGTAACTTAGACGGGTTAACGAGATTTTAATGCTCGTTTTCACCATCAATCCCTAATTTTTAAGTGACCCCTAAGGTAAATATGAACCATCAGGAATTTTGTTTACATAGGGGTCACTTAAAAATAGAGATTGATGGTGAAAACGGGTATGATACAAAATATGCGATAATCAAGTCTCTCCAACTTATAGGTATGTAACGTAATACTGAAAATTTTTCTACTTCACCGAACAAATAAGCACTCTATTTCTGAAAACAGTCTAAAAATAGAAATAATACATTGCAAAATTTCTCTTTTCTCTTTTGTTTGTATTTTTCTTATGTTTGTATTCCTCCTCTCTTCAAAAATGGTTACCGCAGAATAATAGCGTCATGTTTTGGGTTTTACTACTTCAGAGGGCCTAGTGTGAGTTTACAATCAAACGCGTCAAACAATGACATTAAATGTATGACGGATTGTACAGCGCCCCTAGCGGGAAACGTTAAAAATCTAAAATTTTCATACATTTTTTAAACGCGCTCACTAGTGAGCGCTTTTGATGTAAACTCGCACTCAGCCCACAGAGCATGACACATGCTGAGCGGTGGCCAATTTTTGTTCTAACTACTTGTACTTACTTTTATTATCTGTGTGTTTTTTTTTTTAATTTGGAACCACAATAAATGTTTTTCTTTATTTCTTTCTTTCATAATGAACTGTAACGCTAACGAATTAACGACTAACTTCTCTCATTTCAGGTGAGTCCGAACTTAACGGTAACCGGTAACCGGACTAACCGGTTAATACATTCCCGGAAGCAGTAAACCGGGTAAGTTCACGCGGCCGGATAAAGGACGAATTTAGGGAAACCCTTTCTATTTCGCCTTAGCAATAGGGATGGGGACAGGTTGGTTATCGATGATGTCGATTCGACACATTTCAAATTTGGTTACACTGAAATAATGTTTGAGTTATTTTTGAATTCACTAATGTTAACTCGACAAGTTTAGTCCTCACTAAGTTTGACAAAATACGAAAACAAGCAAATTGTTTCCTCGTAACAAGTGTGATTCCTGATAACATAAATAAAAAAAAAGTTAAACAACATCTTTTTTTTGGCTTCTTTTCATTTCAGTAAAGATTATGTAGTTTTTAACACTTTAAAAGCTACGCACTGCATGCTCTGGCATCCTAGTAAATACGTAAAATAATATGACAAGAACGTAATAATAATGCAGCAAAATGCTAAGCTCGACTATTAAGACTGTTGACCATTATGGGTGGTAGTAACTCACGTCTTGTCATTCTAAAAAAAAAGACTATTTACGCTACGTAAGTGGTTATCTCAACCTCAACAAGATATTTTTCTATGTTCAGGATTTTACATGGTGTATGTATTATCGATACCAAAATATATCGATAACTTTCTACATCTCTAAATATGAATTCTTGCATTGAGCGGGTTGGTTTGTTTGGCCCATTGTAAATATATGACCTTTATTGTATTTGAGGGATGAAACCGGGTTGTCGGAGAAGATCAAAAACGTGCGATTGCGTTCGCGATTGAAGGGAACCGCGATACGATTGTCGCTTTATTTATTTTATGGGTTCTATTATGGGTTTTATGTGGGGGTAATGGACTGGAAGTGAGGGTAACCGCATATGAGGTTTTGGGCGTAATTCTTTGCGAAATGGCGCGAAGAATGCAAATACGGGGTGAAAATCTTACGTTTGATTAAGTTTTATGGCTGTCGCGGCGTCCAGCCTGCATGGTCAAAGACATAGACTAGGACTGGCTGACGATAAACGGGACGACGTTTTTCTTGACTTGACTTTTGACAGACGACGAACAATGGACGGCAATTTTCTCATGAAATTGTAAAGTTTTATATATTGGTTTTATGACAATAAACCAGTCCGACGAAGCCCTGACTTTTTCTTAACCGTCACGACGACGACGGTTCAAGTGGTCCTTCGAGCATAAACAGAATCAAGATATGGAAACACGCAGTAGGTCAAGGGCCGCGGCTATGACTACGACGGCAGCCGTTCCAGACAAGGATGGGCACGACGACAGACAGTCCATTCGGAACAGCCGCCCGCCTTCGCCGAGCCCGTCCGCCCGCTCTACCACGAGCACTGCGTCGACTGTGAGACGACAACGACTACTACAGATAGAGCTTGAAGCCGCGGAGGAACGAGCCGCTATCGCCAATCGCTTGCTGGAGGAAAAGCTAGCTATACAGAGGCAGGCGCTGCAAGACGAAGAGTACCTCGCGTGCAATCTATCTCGTGCCCAGTCACGCACTTCTTTGACGGCAACAAGAACCAGAGGTACCCAGACTTTTCATACCGATTCTAATCACGTCGAGCGTCATCATTCACCCACGCCAGTTATGCCACATCATTCTACCTTTCATACAAGTCGCCTAGAGGAGAAAATGACTAAGCTGTTGGCAAGACAGACATGCTCCACGGAGCTGCCACAGTTCTCAGGCGACCCAGAAGAATGGCCACTGTTTTACAGTAAGTTCATTTCGACCACCCGACTCTGCGACTACTCGGATGATGAAAATATTGCCAGACTTTCAAGGTGTTTGAAGGGGAGTGCACGCGAGTCGGTGTCCGCTTTACTCATTAGCGCTACTAATTTGGACAAAATTATTAAGACACTGAAAATTCGATTTGGTAGACCGGAATACATCATAGAGAACATGTTGACAAAAATAACTCAAACCAAATTCATACGTCATGATGACATAAATCACCTCATCGAGTTCGCTACCATAGTACAGAACGTCGTTGCAACTATGCACGCTACCAAGGAGACTGGCCACCTGACAAATCCGCTACTTATGAAAGAGGTTGTTAATAAGCTGCCATCCAACCTCCGCTACCAGTGGTCATTTCACGTAGCCAACAATATGCAAAGCTCGGTATTGACCCTGAATGAGCTATCGGAATGGCTAATGGACGTAGCGAACGCGGCAACCATTGTAGCGCCGACGCGTGCGACGACAGAAAATAGACCGAAGGTACATTACGACAAGAAATGCGTTTTGACGACGACGCCGGTATCAACACCTACTAGTACGTGTGTCAGATGTAAAGGCAAGCACACATTGAACGATTGCGCCGAATTTAAGCGTCTTCCGATTGATGACCGGTGGAGCTTCGTGACTGAACAGAAGCTTTGTTTTTCGTGCCTGTCAGAAAACCACCAACTCAAGACCTGCAAAAATCGGAAGAGATGCTCAGAGGACGGAGTCTCCGGCGCTTTATTGCAAGACGCGGCTGTCCGGCGGTCATGTATAGTGACAACGCCACAACATTTCGAGGGGCTGACAAAGAGCTCAAGCAGGCTGTGATGTCGATGGACCGAGGGGAGCTGCTACGTTTTGGTTCAGTTAGAAACATGGAATGGAAGTTTATCCCGCCAAATGCTCCTCACATGGGGGGCTGCTGGGAGAGGTTGGTGCGAAGCATCAAGACCGCGCTTCGCACTACCTTAAAAGAGAGGGTCCCCAGTGAGCAGACGTTGTTGACCTTGTTGGCGGAAGCGGAGTACTTCGTTAATAGCCGGCCGCTAACATACATTCCTTTAGGCTGCGATGACTCACCTGCTCTTACTCCTAATGACTTTTTATTTACAGACACTAACTTCATCGACCGACCCTTTGGACAATTTACTGACGGAGACATGTTACGGCGTTCCTGGCGGGAGTCGCAGAGACTGGCAGACTTGACTTGGAAGCGCTGGGTCAGGGAGTACCTGCCTACCTTGACACGTCGGGACAAATGGTTTAAGGCTGACAGCCGACCCTTGGCAGTAGGCGACATTGTCATTGTCGCTGACGACCAACTACCAAGGGCCCAATGGCCGCGTGGCAGGGTGGTCAGGGTGCACCCTGGCAAGGATCGCCAGGTACGCGTAGCAGACGTACAGACAGGACATGGACTTTACACTCGACCAGCGACTAAGCTGTGCAGACTGGACGTCGGCTCCCAATCTTGAGTATCAGCTTGCTGATACTGGAGGTGGGGATGTCGCGGCGTCCAGCCTGCATGGTCAAAGACATAGACTAGGACTGGCTGACGATAAACGGGACGACGTTTTTCTTGACTTGACTTTTGACAGACGACGAACAATGGACGGCAATTTTCTCATGAAATTGTAAAGTTTTATATATTGGTTTTATGACAATAAACCAGTCCGACGAAGCCCTGACTTTTTCTTAACCGTCACGACGACGACGGTTCAATGGCATTTCATTGATACCTACTGAGCTGAATAAATAGTTTCCTACTTTTTTTTAATGTTATCCACAAGCCCGTTGCACGTCTCTTTTAAAACACTTCGATAATCTACTAATATTATAAAAGTTTTTTTCTCGCTTATCTACTGAACCGAGTTAAAAGAAATTTTATAGATACGGGACTATTTCCACCTCTCGTTCCCACCGCTGCAACTCCTATGAAGCCAGGATCTACAGCTTGACCGTCAATAAAAACCTAACTAGTGAAGGTCAAGTTTGTCTAGGGGAAAAACTGTCATTGGACCCGCAACGAAAATCAGAAGAACATAGGAGGAGTTCGAATTTAAGGTTCGACTTCCAGCAGTGCAAAACGGATGACAGGACTAATTTTATAGATAGTTTCTGGACACGATAAAAACAATAGCTTTAATTCCAGTTTTTGTTAGGGGGACATGCGCGTGATAAAGACTGTGACAGACAGAACGTGGACAAAAGCTTGTATTAAAACTTTTTCTGATTTAAAAAATCACCCTGTATATTGCTCGAAGCGTGTTTCTTCACAAACAACTGTAGAAAGGAGATAATGCAGTAGTTTATTAAACATAAAACTATTGTTTCTTAGATTAAGCTTGGAACAGCGAAGCTTCGCCTTAAGCTTTCAGTAAAAGGTGTGCTTTTAGTTTCAACTGCATTTCTTTGAATGGGAGAGTTATTTAGTTGTTTGCTCCATTCGGTTTGGTGCAAGTTTAAAAAAATATCTTTGAAATAATTAGCTTTGTTTGCTAGCTTTTTTAGGCTGGGTTGCACCATCTTATTTTAACTGTAACAAACGTCAAAAATCTGTCAAAAACTATACAAAAAACACCGGCCTAAATATATTTCTAGCTGAGTCGGCGAACTTCGTACCGCCTATGTTCATCAAAAATAATGTAGGATTCTAATGGTGAAAGAATTTTTCAACATTACAAACAAACAAATCTTTCTTCTGTAAAATATTACGAGTAGTGTAGATGTAGACTATTGGTCTAGCACTTTTAACTCAGTACTCATCTGCGAGACTCAGATTTCCATCAGAACTACAACGTGTTAATGAAAAAGCGCAAACCTCAGACACCCCAACTTATTTTTATTATAAAACAATAATGTAAATTATTAAAACTAATTTTCGCGGATTATTTACGAAGATATTCACTCTTTTTGTTTTCGCCCCGCGCACTTGTTATCTATTTTTTACGCATTTCTGGAAACGTATTAACCTTTCACACGCTGATTGCAAGGCATGCACGCCTATGAGTAGGTTAGTAGTTAACGTAGATAGTTCATTCACTTGGTATTACATGGATCTCACAACTTTTTACCGTAGAACAACTGAGTTGCGAGACTTGGTTTTTTTGACAAGTATTGTTTTTGATGGGATCTCATTTCATTTTGTATTTTGTAGACAGCAGTTATGTATCTAGAAAACTGGACCGAAATTGAAAAAAATTACTTGACTTGGCGGTTGCACTACCGTGCCCCCAAATCTCATTTCTTTTTGTATTTTGTAGACAGCAGTTATGTATCTAGAAAACTGGACCGAAATTGAAAAATTTTACTCGACTTGGCGGTTGCACTACCGTGCCCCCAAATATTTTAGTTTTTCCTTGATTCATACACCAAACACTACTTATATTCCAAATTTGAAGCTTCTAGGTCTACTAGAAGTGCCTTAGAGTTTTGATGATCGGTGAGTCAGTGAGTCAGTGAGTGACAAAATTAAGTAACTTTGACCCGTTATAATTCCTAAACTACTGATTCAAATTGAATGAAATTTTAAATATACAGTGTCTTTACAATGCCTGCATAGATAATGAAAATTCAGTGTTCTAGTTTTATCCACAACGAAGTTACATGCAGTCGAAAATGGCCTGAATTGCTTCGAGAGAAGGATGGTACGGCCGTGCCGCTTTTTTGCTCGACTTGGTGGGGGCACTGCCGTGACCCCAGATTTCAGGTTTTGCGCTTTTTTATTAACACTTTGTAGGAATATGCTCTGTCACGTCATAATAATTATGTCAATGTCACCCCTCACCGCTCCCATACCTCAGGCACTGATTGAATGAAGCGCTAGATCTAGTAGAAGCCTTTAAATTGGACCATGAAGCTTCATCGGTCATACAACTTCCGTTCTGAAACTTGAAAGCTCACATGACCGCTTCCTCCATTACCTTGTATCTCACTTTACCAAGAACACGGACCGTGTTAACAGGATTCCTATGAAACGGTATTCGATTTCATAAGACTTCGGACGAACGGGGAAAATTTATTTTTCACTTTGAACTGACTTTGCGGCATAATGATGTAGAGATTGTTTTATCACAATGTTTGGAAGATTTTTGTGTAGGATTTTTTATTGCATTATGTAGGGTTATGTAGCCAAATAAGTGCTAACGGGACCCTGTTAATATGCTTCAATGTCAGACTGCCGATTCGAGGATCACCAAATGCGACATACCCGTCAGTGTTGGACTTCATAATCATCATTTCCACAAAGGCTTGGTAGCGGCCTGCATCCAGCGCCTTCCTGCTACCTTTATGAGGTTGTCGGTCTTGTTGGTGGACGCCCTACGCTGCGCTTTCCGGTACGTGGCCTCCACTCCAGAACCTTGCTGCCCGGTCGATCGTCAGTTCTGCGTACTATGTGCCCTGCCCATTGCCACTTTAGCTTGCTAATCAGTGTACCTACCATGAGTTTACGTTAGGTGTGCTCGCTAGCGAGTACGTCAAAAATCTCTATGAAGATTTTGTTTCTTGAAAGTAGCCACTAGGGGCGCTGCCCAATATGTCATACAATTAATGTCATTTTTTTACGCAGTCGCTAGCGAGCACACCTAACGTAAACTCATGGTAAGCGCACAGTCGGGCTATGTCAGCGACTTTAGTGTCAGATTTATACAGACTTAAGGCCATGATTTCCCAAATTGTCGATATTTGACCGATTTTGTTTGCAGATAGTTTCTAAATGAAAAGATATTTTAGCAAACAAAAAATTGTAGGAGTAAGTTAATGTCTTTAACTA